TCGATTATGCCATAGTCACGTTTGTCTCTATTCTTCTTATTTTCAGAATATTTGGCTTACCCAAGTTAGGTTCAACGACACTTTACCTCCTTACGTCCATCCTCAATCTACTCTCAGCTCAAGCGACGACGATAATAATAACAAAGGTGCTCCGATTAAGCTTGCTACAATCATCGGGTCAGCCTTAGGAGGTGCTATGGCTGTCATCTTTGTGCTTGGGATATATCTCCTCTTCCGACGAAGGAAGCATCAAAGAAACAGTCTTAAGACCGAATTACTCCTACCTAAAACCCCCAAGACTATGGAGGAGGTTATACCACGACCTTCAACCAGTGGCCTACCGCCCCGGTATTCCTTAGCGGAATCGGCACTATCGTTGTCAAGAACATCGACGATAACATCTTCAGCCTCGTATCCTTCTGTAATCAACATTCCTCCTCTACATCATTCAGTTTCAAGGCATTTCAGCTCCGCATTTTCGAGTAGCGGTGTTGCTCCTTCGATAATCGGAAGTGTAAGTGGGAGCAGTGATTATTTCTCGACGTATCAGCTGAGGGAGACAATTGAACCTGTAAGCTTTCCTTATTCATTTCTCGTGCGTGGCCTAAAATAAGCTATCTTTCCAAAGGAAAATGTATTTCTTCGTGCGCGAGTGGGAGAGCTGGAGAAGAGGCTTAAAGAGTTGGAAGAGGAGAGTTTGAAATCTTCCGAACGGGACAGTTTAGTTTACACTGACAGTATAGCTGAGACAGCTACTTTACGCGATTGGCATTCGAAAGAACAATGAAGAGACGTTTCTTTGTACTTACATATTAGGCTATCTGAGGTTTCAGGGCTAGTTTCCTTTTTGCGATTCTGTTCATTCTTTCGGCCTCTGAATGTTTTTGCATGGCCGGCGCAATTTGTTCTTTCAGGTACTTACTCTTGGTTGTCTCCGGGCATGTGGCAAAATAGGTCGATTTGAAGTGAGACAGGTACGCTTTGTGTGCGCGATTGAAAACGTGTCAAAGTTTTGTTAATGAACAGGTCCGGACCTCAACTAGCATAAGAACTTCAAAAATGGGCTGGCTAAAACATCAAAAGAAAATGCAAGACAGTTGCAGGGAGAGTTAGAAAAGGGTTCCGCTTAGGCTCAGGGATCGTGGGAGTTGAAGTGTCCTCTCTTGGACGTTCAAAGAGTGAGATCAAGAAGAACGGAAGCAACCGTGGATCCCGGGTTTCCCGTTCAGGAATTGACGGGCGGCCGCCTTGGGCCAGTCACGGAATTAAGTGAAGGACTCGGAAGCAAAAACCCTGCGGGAACCTGAGATCTTGAGAACTGAGAATGGGAGAAGGTACATTCAGTTGAAGAAGGACCCCCAAAAAGTAAAGTGGAGCCAACATGCAAAGAGAACTGGAGATTAAATGCAAAATTTTTCGATTGTAAAAGAATTTACAGAATTGTTTTGATGTCTAATGGTGAGATGAACTATGGTCCTTACTCTCCAAGAGTGTTCCATTTAGTACTGCCAATCCATGAGCTGGGTCCGAAACTAGAATCCTCTACAATTTGACAGAAATGAGTAACGACGAAGGGAGAGTCGGAGAAAAGGTATATGGCCTGACCTCTGTTGGTTCTGAAAACTTGGGAACAACAGGGGATTCGGGAGGGAACTTGTAGAGGAGGTAGCCAAATCCCCCTAACAGACTAAAGGCGAGTAGGAAGTGACGGAGAGCCATGTTGGGTTCTACGTGTGGGACATCTGGGCCCCACATTCCATACAGTTCCTCCTTCTCATGAAGCTATAGGTATGATTATCAGACAGTGAATTAAATATTTACTTGGAAGCGCAAAAAAATCTACGAACTGTATCTCCAATGTTTCGCCTGTTCTGAACATCATCCCATCCCAACGGCGGCAATCGTTGGCGTGAAACGTCTGGGAGTTGTGGGTAGCCTTGCAGCTGAGGGTCGGGCTGTGTGGAATATGGACGAAGCTGCCGCACGGCGACACGAGTCGCGGCGCGACGGAGCATGATATAGGCGAGATGAAAGTGCTGTGTCACAGCTTGTCGTGACTTGGCGATTTCCGGAGTGACCCTGCAAGACCCCCCATCAAACGCATGCCGTTAGCGGTTTGAACATCTTTGATCCAGAAATCGCGCTCCCCTTCTTCTCATCCCCCATGCAAGAGGCCAAAGTCGTTAGCAAAGACATTCAGGACACTCTCCTTTCGTCTGCCAAGAAGCGAAATCGACGCCCGGGCGAGATAGCGTACCCAGCGGCTCATTCTTCGGCGCTCCTTGATGTGTATGTGAACCCTGCAACTTTCACAACACCAGTTGTATCTCACGCCTCTTCAACAGTGAGAACTGGGAGCACGTCTTTAGGAGAGCATGTTTAGGAAACAGACTTACCTTAACCCCAATGCTACACGAGCCAGAACGCGTCCTCGATTTGGGATGTGGGTCCGGCCTTTGGGTCTTGGAGGCGGCCCAGGAATGGCCGGTAAGTCTCTCATTTCTCTCCACGAGATCTCCTTCTAAAGGCTCCATGCCAACGTAGAATGCTTTGCTCTGGGGGTACGATTACAGGAAGACTCAGCCGCCGTACCTCGACTTCCTCTGTCCTCCACCTTCGACAGTCCCACGTCGCATCAAATGGGTACATGGCAACTTGTCAGTTCTCCAATATGATGAATACCGTTTCTATGCTTACTTCTCGCAGTCTGGAAGGCTTGCCATTCCAAACAGAGTTTTTCGACCTCGTTCGCGTGACTTCGATAGGCCTGGGTGTTCCAGAAGATGAGGTATGTTTACTCTTTCCATATGGAGCTCATCTATTCACTCCACTCTCAGTGGCAAGATTTACTGGAGGTAAGCGCATTTAAACGGTGTTGACAGTGTATCGAAGTGAGTAACACTGGTTTCTAGGAAATACATCGTGTCATGGCTCCTGGGGCGACACTAGAGGTATAGAGCTGAAAATTATAAATATACTCCCGATTCTTCTTCTCTAACTTTTCGCTTTATAGATCATTGAAGAAGATCTTATTTTTCCTTGTGCACCGGTCCCCGAACCTCCAAACCCCCGATCAAATCTTCCTCGCCTAAACCTAGACTTTTCCGCGACTGACACGGTCGACTCTGGGAGCGGAGGAAGCGCAACACTCTCGAACAGGAGTACTATGTCTTTCCTTACTGAGTCCACACTCTCTACATACTGGGAAGACGAAATTCCTCTGGAGACGCCGGTCAGCAAGAAACCGGGATTGTCTCCTCTCCCCGAGTCACCTTGTTCTCCTGAAGAAGAATGTTTTCTGTCTTCCAACTCAGAATCGACGTTCGATCGTGACATGGACTTTTCTGAGATGGAATACAAGAGATCTTCAATAACTTTTCCTCCTAGAGCCGGGCACAAAGCCCCTCCCTCAACGCCTATGCGTACTAGTGTTGATGGCGAGGAGCTTCTCAATCCTTTGGATCATACACGTCTCCAGAAAGCGTGGGAGCAGATGTTGAGCGCACGCTTCATCTCGCCTAGTCCTGCAAGCGTAATCCCTTTCTACATCTCGACGACGTTCGAGAACATCTTGACTCACCCACCGATCGAAATCGAAATTCCGCCCAACTCTTCTATTGGTAGTGCAAGGGAACATGCCCTTCGAGGGAAACGCGCATCTGATGAGTCATCACGTGGGAGTGGGGATGTGTATTCCGAAGTTGTTGGGAAGGATACTCCATTCCATGCATCGGAAACCGCTCCTGGCGACCCGAATGTCGTTCCTCCGCCTGCTGTCACTTCTTGGGCGCCATTACACTTGGCACAGCGTGTAAGATCGGTAATGGAGTGTCGTGACGCGATTTGGGAAGCCTACGCTTCAATATACCAGAGTGAGCAACTTGAACTTCCTCCCGCTATTGTCAGATCCCCGGTAACGGGATTTGATTTCCGGAAAAAGTCTGTTCTATCCACAACATACGAGGCGTTCGAAAACGACTGGAAGAATTGGGAAAAGTGCGTTCTTTTCAACAATTTGACCATCAACTCGTTCCTTGCTTATTTTTTTTTTCTTACTTCAGCGACATGATGGACCGCATTTCGCTCCGCAAGCACATTACTGCGAATTGTAATTGGACGGAACCTCTCACAGACCAACCTGACTGGCGTGTCTGGCGTGCTAACATGGACATTCGACTGGGGCGTGCTGCCCTCCTTACGAACCCGAATTCTGAAGACAACATCTGCCGATCCATCAGGTCTTTCATTGCCAAGAAAAGTGACACCAGTGCAATAGATGAAGGGGATGTAGAAACACCTACGAGACCTGACTATCCTGAATCTGTGAAAAGGGACCGGTCATCCATAGTCTGCTAACTCCCCTTCTTCCGTCCTCTGTTTATTAGAGGGCTTGCGCAACTCAACTCGGTCGAGATTTTTGGATGCACAGCATGATCGTGCTCGAGATTTCGGGACATGCTTCTTTAGCGTGTTTCACGGTCAGAAACCGGTCACATTGAAGCTGCAAGGCTGGACCAAAAAATCTCGACTCGAAATATTGTGCAACGGCTGCTGTGCAGTCGAAACCTCGACTCAGTCGTGCTGCGCACGCCCTCTATTGACGACTTTACACGCTCATTTCCCTCATTTCTTGCAAATACTCATCAACTACTTATGCAACTGGATTATGACTTGCACTCGGAAGCTCTATGTTTTAACTGCTAACTCCAAATTTCTCGGTATTAACCCATGGGTCTGTGAGTACTTACTAGATGTTGTCCAACCTATCGATTTCTCTCGTTTACGTTCCAATCTACATACCCTCCTTCATACCTATGTACATTCGTCAGGTTGGTGTGGAACCTCTGTTCTCACCTATGTAGCCTATATTTCCGCTCCTTTGCAACTTTGTAGATTAGAAATGGAATTCAAAATAGTGGTGAACATGCTGGAAATTATCGCAAGAGGGAAAATAATAATCTTCGCTCAGCCAACGAGATTCAAAGCAGAAGCAAAAAGTATGACAAGAGTGGGATTTGAACCCACGCCTACAAACGTAGATGAGAATCGACCCCCTACTGAAGGGGAAGCTATATATAGCTTGAGTCACACGCCTTAGACCGCTCGGCCATCTTGCCATTGTGTTATAAATGTTCTTTGAAAGAGCCACTGTGTATCGAGCCAGCCCCGGGAGAGACGAAAATCTCTCCTTTCTTCCACCCCGCACTTCAATTCCAAGATCCATCAAATACGACAGCAAAATGATGCACCTAACTTCTTTTTACACGTTCTAAAAAGGGAACAGAACCATGACTAATTCTCAAACATTCAACAACTGCGCTTTTGCACCTACCGTCATCTTCATCCCATGTCGACTACATTGTGTCTTGCTTGCTCCTCCTCGTTCCCTCCCAATGTTCTTTCTAAAGGCGCTGTATACCAAACGCCATGCTGTTCTCGCCCGATTTGCTCTTCATGCACGACAGCAAACCCTCGACTCATGAGGTATTACCTTCTTCTGGATTTGAGCATTCAGGGGCTCAAAACTTGTTGATTATAAAGGTACAATCCATGCCTATCATGCCTTAGTGGAGTTGGTGTTCTAGCATCCTCCTCGTTGAAGGAAACAACCCTACCCGGTGCTTCAGCTGCGCCTCCGGATACAAATCTTAACGGAGCCATTCGGGACTCTGATAACTTTCAAATCGGTGACGATTCTGATGAAGAAGATCAAGATTCACCTAGAGTCTCCCAGTTCAGTAGTAGTTCCAACCCGACTTTAAATGCTCCGCCGTCTTACACGTCCGGCCGCTCTTCCGCGTCATCCTTGTCGTTATCTGAATCTTCCTTGACTGCGAGCTCTATTTCTGAGCTTCAACTGGAGCCACCACAGGCTCCAGTGCTGCCTTCGACTTCTACGGGACCGTCGAAGTATTATCTCCAGAAAGGAGATTCGTTGCAAGGTCTAGCTCTTCGCTTTGGTGTTTCTGTACGTGCACCCCTATGAATTCTCAGTTCACCTTTCTTATTTCAATTCACATAACTATTGAAGGGTCGAGAATTATGTTCTCTCAACAAGCTACCCCCAAGTACTCTTACAACCACGCCACATCTCCTTCACACACGAGCCAGCATTATTCTACCTTTAACTGCAAGAATCAAACCAACTGACATCGTGGAACAAATTGATCCCGAACGGGAAGCTGAGCTTACTCGCGAACGTGCAGAGAAGAAGCTTCAAACACTCACGAAGGAGGTTGATTGGAAAGTGGCGAAAGCGTACGTGGCTCTTGCTGAGAGTGCGACTGACGAAGATGTTGAGCGCTTTGATTTGAAGCAGAAGGAGCTAAGTGTGAGTGGTTTAGAAAAGGGTAAGGGTAGACTGGAGTCTATGGCTGTCGATGCCTATTTGGAGGATGATGAGTGGGAGAGAATGAATCCGTTTAGACCTGGTGGTGCTTGGGGATCTTCCAAATCCGCCTCAAGCAGCCAAGCAAAAGGGTGGTTTAAAAAGACCAATGCAATGTCGGTGTAAAACATGTATAACTATTTCTATGTAACCTATCTCCTGGCAATAAAAACGCCCCGTTTCTGCACAAACCTGCAATACACAAGGCTGGGGTCTCTAGGGCATGTCAACCTCAGAAAGTGTCACTTTCTTCGAGAGAATAAAGGCTCAAGATAGATAAAGAAGTAAATAAGTGTTGATTTTCAGCAGCACGATATTTATACAGTGTATGTATATGTTCGTATTATTTCTTGCCAGTCTCCAAGACTCCTTGTGCAGTCCTGTCCCTAACCCCCTTCAAAAACTTAGCCAAATCTGTTCCGCCGGTACCTTTCATTTCTTCTTCTTTGCCTTGAGTGCCTCCCTGGCTTTTAACTTCCTTCTCTTTCTGCGCCTTCCTAGCAGGGCTAATGACATACATAGTCACAATCACAAAATGCGCGTCTCGGAACTCCTTCATCGCCATTACAGTAGCATTGTATGCTTCTACTAACTTGACATTCTCCGCGTGGTTTTGGACAAAAGTTCGAAGTGGAAGAGAAGTCTTCTTGAGATAAGACAAGAACTCGCGATGTGGACGGGGCATGTATTCACGCATCCCCTCTAACATCTTCTGTACATTGGCAGAGGTTTCGACATCGGTGCCCAAGAAAATATCTAGAGCATGGAAAAGAGCGCTCTGTGCGGCAGTGGCTCCGCCCAGCTTCGTTGGCTCTTCCAAACCGTGTTTATCCAAGCCTTCAAAAACCCATTTTCGAGCTGCATTGGATCCCGATAACCAGGGGCGTATCTGGTTATAAAACACGTCTGGGTTGCAGCCCTCCTTCATTGTGAGCAGAAGTTTGCGGAGCTCCGGGATGACACTGGCAAGAGTTTCTAGGTGGTTTGTGATGGCAGATGGTTTGGCTTCATGTATGTCGTCCAAGATAAGACGGATCAGCTGAAGAGCTTCAGCGCCGCGCATCTCAATGCGAGTGGATACTAGGTGGAAATGGTCTTCATCAGAGGTGCCCGATGCAAGAGTTTGACAACGCAGGTTGTCAATACTTGGAACGAAACCATCCGTATCGACGATGGGAGCCCAGTTGTAGAGTGAGCTATCGGAGAAGGTGAGGGTTGGTGGGTGGGAAAGAGCATTGCAAATTTTGAGGAAAGGTATCCCCAGACTCTCAGGGATGATCACTGGCTCCTCGGGAGGAAGTGAGTGAACATAAAGATGAGTAATGGATGCAAGGACCAGGTGTGCTCTTCGAAGAGAGCGGACACCTGTGAGTTTTTCGACTGATAGAAGTGGCATCTAAAGAACGTAAGGTATAAAATATCAAAACTGAGGAAAAGGAGAACCAACCGCGCTGACGGCAATCCTCCATGTCTTGGAATAAGATCTCTCCTGATTGTCCAGACCAGTTTCATCTGCGAGATGAATTTTGCCATTGGATCCTTTATCAAGTGTTGCTTCCCATTGCTCCCAGTCTGCACCGAGGCGAGGAAGAGGCTGGGTTGAAGGAACAAAGCCCGTCAACGGATCGATGGAGAAGGTAGTCTAAGCAGGTTTGTTAAGAATGGGAGAGAAAAAGGAAATGGTATATCTCTTGATTTACCTGCCAGTCAGACATGGGAGTGGTTGGCAGTCTGAACGAGTCATGTTCTACAGATTATAAAGGCAATGAAGGCGGAATTGTCCCGATATCAATGAGGTCAGGGCGATTCTTAACAGTCAAGATCCGGAAAAAAAACAATGATACAGGTACATGTCAATGTGTGTAGGTAGATGACACAGAAGTGCAGGAGACGCGGCTAGTTGGCAAACAGGTATTGTTCTCAGACTTCAACCACCAGAAACGGGTGGAATGACACCGACTATCTCCCCACCGTGCAGGCAGACATTTTCTTCTTTGTTGACCATTTCCTCGTTGACGCTCCATTGGCTTCCTTCAAGAATTTTATCCAAATCCTTGGCGTTTGGATGCAGCGAAACGAGATGTGCGCTAAGATCGGCTAACTTGAATGGTGTCGACTCGGGAAGGGGAATAGTTTCTGATGTGAGGCCTGTGGATGTCGAGGACCCCGCAAAATAAAGCACAGTAATGGTTAGCGGACTTGCCATGATGGTAGCACAAAGCTAAAACACCAAATTGAGCGCTAAACTTAGATACTCTTGCTTCCCTACCACCACTCGCTCACAGTCTCTCTGGTCTCTGGGGACTTTGTCTAGAAGGTTCAAACACGCATCCTAAGAACGATTTCAGAAGATCCGGGAGCCTCTTTGACCGCCAGTGTCTCCATTCTCCTCGTTGCCGCACCTCATACATGCACATTCACTCATGAAACGGCCCCAGTCTACTCCACACGATCATTTCCAGCGCCGAATAGTGTTCCTATCAGTCGCTAGCACTCTTTCTTTACTGGGAATTATTCTCTATTTGTCAGGATTCTCTCCCCGTCGCGCTCTCTCCATCGGGTACACATGGTTCTCCAACCACCACGATGAAGACGACTTCAATGATGGTTCGTTCCCCGACTTTGGTATGTACAAAGACAGGGTGAAGATTTTGAATGAGGATGAGTTCCCTCTCAGTAAGTTCCTTTTCTCACAAGCTGTGGTAAGGTGCTGACGGCACTTTCTCCAAGCCGACCCAAAACGAAGAGTCATCATCATGGGCGATATTCATGGCATGAACGATTCATTCCACTCCATTCTCACTCAGCTCTCCTACACTCCCAACCAGGATATCTTGCTTCACGTTGGTGACGTCTTGACCAAAGGACCCCACCGGTCCTCCATGGCCACTCTCGATTTCATGACGAGACACAATGTCCTTGGAGTCCGTGGCAACCACGAACAGCAGGTCATTGAATGGCGTGCGTGGATGGATTGGATCCGGTCCTCATCTGAAGGTGGCCGCTGGCTTGACACCATTGACCGACGATGGGAAGAAGTCCATAAGCTTGGAAAAGACACGAAGAAATGGCTCCGTAACGAGATCCAGCGCATTCCCTCCAAATGGGTCAAGAGGATTCCAAAGAAGTGGAAGTTGTTTGGCGAGCAATATCGAATTGCAAGACAGCTAACCGATCAAGAGTGGAAATATTTGCAGAACCTTCCTGTTGTGCTTCACATTCCTCATGCGCACATGTACATTGTTCACGCAGGCTTGCTCCCCTTTGATCCTAGACGTGACCATAAGCACCACTCTCAACCTCTTTCGAAAATGCCCGTTCTTCTTCGACCACCAAGTGAATCTGCTCTCCGTTTCGCGCAGGAGACAGCTGTTTTGGATGATATTAAACCCAACAAGGATCCTTGGTCACTCCTCAATATGCGTGCTATCTTACAAGGCAAAGTGACGAGGCGATTCCGAGGTGTCTTCTGGGCGAAACTCTGGAATCGGGAAATGAAGCAATGTCGTGGTTTCGACAAGAACGGTGGCTTGTATTGTTTAGGTGCGACTGTTGTCTATGGGCATACAGCGAAGAGGGGTTTCGAACAAAGAAGATGGAGTATTGGATTGGATAGCGGATGCGTGAGTGACTTTCCCCTTTTTTTGTTAGCCAATTCAACAGTTCTAATTCGATATCTAGGCTCATGGGAAAAGGCTGAGCGCGCTTGTTTTGGGTGGTGAAGAGAAC